TGTTAGGGTTTAAAAGGACCCACGATACCATCAGGGATATGGTGCGGTGTCGTGGGACTGAAGTACAGGATCTGAACCTGAAACCGCTGCATTTGACTTTGCAGTTCACGTCGATCACCAAGTCAAGATCCCCTAAATGTGCTCCCGTTTTAGAGTTGACCGTCATTTGTCTGTGACAATGTATCAATGAACGATACTACTCGAAAAACAAAAGCGCATTCCATCCAAGAATAACAGCTGCGTCATGCCCACTAATGTCACTTTATAACGGTCACAGCCCATCGGCAGCCTTTGACTGCACGCCGCGGTAGCACCCGTAATGACCTGCGAAATTATCAAACAGATGCGCAGGAGTCGGCGTTTCCGTGAAACGGATGTTTTCGACGTTCAATAAGATTCGGCATGCTTAATGTTCTCTGTGTAGTTTGATGTTAAAAAGCGAGGCGAAAGTGTTGTATATTGTTTTAGATTACCACTGTAAAACGAATATTTTCACAACTAAAATTAGTTGATTAAGATCATGAAGCTAAGCAACGGTATACGAAGATATGAACCCACTTAAGTATATGAGTATTTGATAATTTAGAAATTCAATCACTGGTAGCTTCAATATCTTCAAGAGAATTTATACACATCAATTTTGTCTTTATACATAATCCTAACAGGTAAATTAGTTATGTCTTGATTTTTGTTTACAACTCTATGCCTCTAATCTACTATGGATGAATGGAATATATATTTTTTAATGTTAATTTATTTCAATTTCTTGATAAAAAGTCTATCCTAATTCTTAAGAGCAAACACCACAATAGTTTTGCAGTGAGAAAATATCTAGGCACTACTAGGGCGAGTTGCACCATCTTACTTGAACACTAACTATAACCATAGCCGGAGATTTTTGTATGAGTTTGACAGATTTTGACGTTTGTTAAAGTTAAAGTAAGATGGTGCAACTCAGCCTAAATGTTAAAGACCAGGACAAAATAAACCCCACCACGCGTCGGTGTATAACTGTATATTTTACCAATGTAGTGGTTTTAAGATTATGTATATTGCTAAACCCATAAGGGTATATTTGTCACACGTGTTCAATAGGCCGAAAGAAGACGACCGAAGTCCGAAACTCGAGGGGTGTCTAACAACATCAAACACTCGACTCTCCAAACACATCCCTTTTACTTTTATCGAATAAGTCTCGGGTCTCGATCCGAGTGGACTCGATAACACTTATTTTTGTATTGGAATATATGTTCATTAAAGATGATCAAAGGTTTTAAGTAGGTTTAAGTATTAAATTTTTTTCACAAGCATCCGACATTGGCAGAAATAAACCTCCCTGAGTAAAGGTAAATTCTGTAATCCCTGTTAATTCTTTCATATCAAACACCACTAAGAATTATTACAGAAAAAATACACTTTGTTATGTTACATATTAAAATTTCAAAATTTTTCAGGTATTACATAAGAGACTAGATGTTTAAATGAAGAGGTACTTAGGACCAAAATCTATAAAGTATAAAAAATGTGTATTTATTTAGTTGGACGCGCTCTTCTGGAACTAATGGTCCGAATATAAGAAAGAAAAGCTTTGTAATAGTTACCTAATAATAGTGAAAAATGTTGCGAAAAAGGTAAATAATATTCAAACTATTTTTTAACCTGGGCACAACTAAGTAGTGTAAAGGGGTTAATACCAAGAACTCAGGGCTCGAGGCTCCAATAAATTCTATCACAAAACCAAAGAATCTTGAAGATTAATGATGACCAGCCCATTGACTTTTACTACAAATAAAATCAATATCATCCTGATTAATGGTCGCCAATAAGATGACTTGCTTTCGGCCGCTAAACTGTCATTTTTCATGTCATTTCGCCGATAAGCGATATTCTAAAAGTTTCGCAGGTTTAATCGCTTGGAAATTGTGTAAAGTTTTGGAGAAATTTTGTTTTTGTAATGTTCATACTAGGACTCCAGAGTAATCTACTTGAAAGTCAGCACTAACGTTTTATTTCTGCTATTCTGAACTATTCTCTTCCCAAACTAAGTTATGTAAGACGTCACAAGACCCCAACGGTCATCAATTCTCTGGAAAACTTACGAGATTTTAAGTAATCACGGTAGAAGACTTAGAAAATGATGTCATAACTTTCACAGTTGTTTTGTAGTCGAAATTGACTTTTAGACCCAGTTTCCACTAAAGCGGAGACGAAGAGGTGACGAGAGATGACTGTGTTTTGAATAACCAATCAGATGAGAAAAATGAAAATGAAAAAAAAAGAGAAGTGTTGTGGAAATAACGAAATCTAAGATTCAAAACACATCTCCTCTTCACTCCGTATAGGCACAGAATAATAATAAGTACTACGTACAGAAGTTTTAAAAAAAATTATGCTCAATGTCATTAATAGACATCGGATTATATGCATTNTATGTATACCATTTTCGACGAGAAAGAACTATGTTTAGTATTTTTAAAATAGTAAATATACGGAGCGCGATCTAAACGTGACAGCAGCGCCATCTCTTAAATGTAAAATGACCCATTTGTGCTCTTGATTACTTTATTTCAAATATTTATATTACAGTGTCGGTGTTACGAAGTTTTCATTAAGTCCGATAGAGGTTTTCAATGTTTTTCAAATATTATATTTACCACAAACATAGCAGAAGCCAACTGGATTAAGCACACAACATCTTCATAACGAAGCAATATCGAAAACACCGACAAAATATATTTTTTTGTCCAATTAAATCAAAAATCTAAGTAAAAATATTAAATGAGGGTAGATAGCTATAACTTAAAAACAAAAGCTGTTAGAGAAAAAATGTTGCCATATTTAAAAAATATGCGTCAATTTGAGATAGAAACAGAAAAAAAATCACAGGAAACAAACAATTTTATTTTTTTTGTTGACCAGTGTAATAAGTTTATTCATAATTATGGCGCGTCAGGGTTATTGTTGATTTTACACCTAGTCGATTCGTCACGCGAATTTAAGTATTGAGATAATCGAATATTACTGCATACCTAATAAACACGGTAAATTAAACTAAGTAGGACCTACACATACAATAAATTATGTACAAACAATAAAGTAGGAAATAGGTAGATAAATAAGTTTTAATTTAACAAAGATGCCCCTGAACTTTTAAATTCTTTACTTCGGAAACCTTTGTCAACTAAATTAACTGTTTTAATTAGTACCTACTTACAAATCGTGCTTTGCAAAAAAGGCTAATTGAAAATTACTGGAAAGTCGCGTGTTATGACCACTAAAAACTCAACAAGCTAGGCTAGCACGCTTTGATAGCTTTTGGACCTTACCCGAAGAGTTTGGAATCTATGATCTTTCACGAATTTTAATTTTAGACACACAGTTTTTGTAATGATACTTTTGTGCTATAAAAGTACTAATGTGAATAGAGCTCGATATAGACCCTTGCGGCATAAAATACAACGATTACTTTCTAACCCACGTAGACGTAGCAAACAAGGAACATTAGTTATTCAAAACAACGATTACAGGGTAATCAATACAGCTGCATCGATGTCATTGACGTTTGCTGATCCACGTTACTACACGTCGTAAATTCTACTGTAATCATGTATGTAATTTGTCTTTGGTAAATAATCAATGCATGTCATTATTTACTAACTAATAATAGTTTTCTGACGAAAAAACGCAGTAAAAACCAACAGTTTAGTGTTTTTCAAAGTTTAGTCCCGCACATGAACTTTTGTCAGCTGAAATAATAGGCGTCCAGAGAAAGACAGCTAGCTATCTTGATCTTGACAAACAAAGCTTTGCATTTCTTTGTCGGAAAAAAAGCTCAATACTGGAGCTACTGAACACCAAGACAAAGACTGTCCTACTCTACTGGTGAATCCAAGTAAGCACTTTTAAAACTACTTGGTTCACAATCACATCGTCCAGATAATTGAAAAACTTAACAAAAGCCAGCTATCGTCAATGGATAAGTGATTAACATGCTGACTAATAATTAATTTATAACATAAGAAAACTTTAACATTATAGATTTTGTCTATAAATGTATTAAGAAACAAAGAAGTTTATTATGATGAAATAACAAACGGTTACATCCATGTAGCGTAGTACGAGTAAAGTAATTTACGCATCTACGTTAAAACGGTTGTTAAAAGTAATTGATAATTATATTTCGGTTATTCTGTTTATTTTAAAAACTTCCTTTCCATATTAAGTATCGTATCTCGAATATTATAATAATACAGAAACTTGCCCTAGATCTTTTAACGATAAGTAACAATATCAGTTTTCATAATTGCTCATCGAGGCGATCAATCAAAGTTGTCAACTAATAGGGATATGTGTTTACATTTTTATCTGTAAGATCTTTTAAAAAGCTTTTAACCGAATATTTTCTATTTCATTCAATAAAGCTATGACTAAAATACAATTCGAATAGATAATTATATTGCTATTGTCTGTATACTGACTACGGAATATTAAAACTTTCACTTCCGAATTATTAAAGTGTACAACATCGTAGATTTAGAAACTTATAAAATCTTATCAATTTCTCTAAAAATACAAATTCGCGACGGTATTCCTCAAAGGCAAGAAATCCTTGTGTCATGAGATGGATGGATCGCAAAGCTCGTGGGAAAGCTGATGTAAATTCCCAACTCATACCTATGTTGATACAATTTATTACTTAACCTACTAGTTACCTAGTTTACAGACACATGACTAGCAGCATATTGTTGTAATTTCATCTAATAAACATCATTGGGTTATTATTTGAGTTAATTTCAGCTGTTATCACATATCATTTCATTCTTATAAATAATGTTTTCCTAATTTAAGTAAGTTCCAAAAAATCTAGACTTAAAATACATTTTATATCCGTTGTCCTTCGAACGGTTACCCATCTCTTATTATTAACAGTTTTTACCATCGATTTCCGATCGATATTGAATACAGTGGACAGCTGATATACGTATCGTTACGACCACTTATCAACTACTACTTAGATAGGAGTAGGTATCATGATGATATGTAGGTACTAGGTATTTAGTATTTACCCATGAGAATCCAATGCAGCCGATGCCAGCTGACAGCATGTCGCCAAGGATGGAGGGATACGCGTTGCCCGAAGGGAAGTAGGCGTGGAATCGTGGGTGCTGCCAATGCGTGACCCCGGGCATGATCTTGTTCTCTACATCGCTCATGACGTCGTCCCAGGGTTCTGGGTGGTACGGAGCCTCGGCAGGCAGCGCGGCGCGAAGGTACCCCGGCTCCACCGATGGGGTCACCCGCCGCTTTTGCAGCGTGGTCATGTACGTGCATATGTAGTCCACCATCTCCTTGCCGCGCACTCGAAACTCCTCGACGTCCATGGTGGGTGTTGGGCTAGTGTTGTAGCATAAGTCGTGCGGTGTCAGCGCCGCGGCGGCCTCCGGCTGACTCGACGACGGCGGAGCAGCCTGGGGTCGAGAGGGCGGAGGGTGCGCGGGTGGGCGTGGAAGCGCTCGTGAAGGCATGGTGAATGTTCTTGAGGCGCATCGTAAACTCGCACAAGTGATGCGCGATAGCGATTCTTTGCAGAATCCATTTGTAATGATTTCGAATGATTGAAATAAACGGTAAGGATTCTTTTATAATACCTAGTTAAAAACAAAAAACACAAATAGGTAGGTACCTATAGCCTTTTTTACTGTTTTTTTATGTTCAGTATATTAACATTGACAAGTTATATTTATGTATTTTGAATTACTATTTCATGAATTAATTTAATAATCCTCTAAATTATTTGATTGGTCGTAGCTCGTAGCGTTACAGTTAACGTTGTGCTACGTGTTGTCTTTTGCTACGGTCAGCTTCGTAGCAAGTGTCTAGCTAGCTAGATAGGCTTAGCTGGATGGCTTATCGTAGCAGTAAACTGAAATTGGTTTCGTTTATAAGGGGATTGTTTCCTTTATTGAGCTGATGTGATAATGTTTCGTGGCATGAATTAATTAATAATCCTCTAAAATATTTGCCTTATTTATGACATTAATGGTCGTAGCTCGTAGTGTTACGGTTAACGTGGTGCTACGAGTACGTGCTACGGCATTATTCGTAGCGAGCGTCAACAATCTGGGCGCTCATCGTAGCAGTTGTAGATGGGTCGTAGTCGTCGTAGCAAAACCGGCCGTCCAATAACTAAATTATTTTCTCACCAAGTAGGTACAGTAGAATCCCGATTATCCGGATCAATTAAAACCAGGGGTGTTCCTGATAATCGAAAATCCGGATAATCGATTTCAAAGTAAAATCAACAAAAAATAACTTTTTACAATAGAAAGGGATTTCAATACATCATTTAGAGTCTAAAAATCGTCATTTTAGACCACTGAATGAATCCGTTTCTTTTAATAATTAACTAAGACGACGTCCGTACCGTGTTACGGTGGCGGCGCCTTCCGTTTTTATGTGTCCAGACCCTAAATCGGTAATTAAAAACCGTGAAGAATGAATCCGGATAATCGGATATCCGGATAATCGAGATTCTACTGTACCATGAAAAATGGATTGAAAGCATTTTAATTCAATAGGCTTGTGTTTGCTGGTTTTCTTTATTGAGCTGACGTGCTAATGTATAGGAAATTTTGGCAGAAATTAATGGACGGATTTATTATTATATATCTTATCTTAATATAATCCTAATATTTTCTATCTACCCGCAGCCCGCTCCTCGCGTGGGGCCCGCGGCCGGCCGCGGCGCCGCCCCCACACTCAGGCCTCTTCATTATGTCAGCTGAACGCCAACGCAAGTATTCCTAGGCAGACGGACCATATGACCAACCTCAATGTCTTTCTTCATTCTAATAACGTGCTGATTTATTATGTAAAAATCGTAATAAAACTCCTTATTAATATGCAGAACACTTCCGCGATTTCCAGTCAGTTTTATTTGGAGTCCAAGCTTTATCATTGTCTCAGATTATTTTATTTCATGGTTTCTATTGATTTTAATTGCTGCCTGCGTTGCAAACCTGCTGTAACTGATCAGATTTAATTTTTATACCTAATCATTAGGTTAGGTTTTTTTTTTATCAGTCCTCGTTAAAATATTAGTCATGTGGAACGTGACTAATAATAATTTTAACGTTTACCTATAATTATATTAAAAACACATTCATGGCACTTAGTAACCGTTTAATATGTTTAGATTTAAAGAACATTTATTTCTCATTAAAAACCTTACAGTTACTTAACTACATGAGAAATTAACAAATTTTATGTATGTAGGTATGTAATTCACATGTTGTCCATATCCAGAACAAGCAGATGTACTTTTGCGGGAACCGTTCTAACACAATACTAAACATTTAGAATAAAAATAACTCCGTAAAAAAGTTATTCTGTGAATTCGACCACCTGAAACATAAGCAGGCGAATTTGCTGAAACGATTTAAATTTTTAAACGGTTTAAGATTGGGTGAAAAGGCGCTTGTCGCTCGAGTGTCGGCGAGTGCGGCCACATGAATATTCAACCCTCAAATTGTCAGCTGCTCAGTTTCTTCCCTCCAAAATACTCCTTTCGTTTGCGCCTTACATTGAGAGAAACACTCGTCTTCCCACTTCCTACAGAGTTAAGCCATTAATGCTGACTTGTAGTACCAAGCTAAAGATAGCAACTGAAATGATTATGCAAACTAAACGACTAAGTACCTGCTCTATCTTTATGCATTTCAAGTACCTACGTAACACGGTGTAAATAAATAGGTAGGTAGATTTTCACTTTTAAAAATCTTTTCTATAAAATATTTAAAAAAAACTATTGCCATGTTACAGAAAAACGTACTCAAATCGAGACTTGGGACATCTTCTTTATATCACAAAACTTGGAGCAGTGACAAATACCTACCTCTAACAGCTTTCATATAAAATTCATATAAAAATTAGAAACACGACTAATATAAATAACTAAAAACCAGGCTGTGTATCACATTCCTATCTGCAGAACTTGAAGGTCCGTCATTGTTCTGAGTAGTATCTATCTCATACAAAATTCATCTGCCGGCCACGGGTCCTCACTGAAAATTTTGGCAGACTCTCAAATTAATAATGGTTTTCAAATTGGATGTTCAAACGCTTATAAAATTATTCCCTAATTTGATATAATCTCTGTCTCATTATTTGATGTAGATCACTGATATCGAAAATACAAACATTTATTTTATATTAATTACGCACATATGGTTTGGGACTAGAAGCATAGTGAAAAATGTCCAATAAATTAATTTTAAATAAGGATTCCGTTTTTTGCCATTTGGCTACGGAACCATAAAAATCAACACATTTCGTCGAGTTATCTGAAAGAGATCACGTCTTCCGGAAAAGACCGTCTGAATCGCGCTTATAAATATAGTTATGGATAAAAAACTACGGGACGCCCACGATCGATAGTGTGAAGATCAATATTTATTAACTATATTCATAAATGTTTCATATGTTCTAAGCCACATTCACATTCTTAGTGAATTCAGATCCATCTATCCCCATGAAGCATTCTTGCGCGATTTTCTATCAATAAAATTGAACTTTCCAATGTAGAATTTATGGTAGCACGTGTCCGAAATTTTAAAATATTTTCCAGATATCCAACATTTCGAGCATACTTATTTCTGAATTGCGATAGGTCTGAACTAGAAGGATTCAGTCGCATTTACTACGTGGGCCATAGAAGCAGGCACGCGGCTCGCCGGGAAGTCGCCGCCGAGGCACGCGCATTCTTCCCCACCCCGCATACCGATGCCATATTATTATGTGTGATCTCCTCCCCTATTATGCAGTAGCTATACCTAGTACACACCATTCACATCGTATATTCCATTCTTGTAAAGCAGGTCACGTTTTAACGCGAATTATTCAATAGTAATTTCGTCTGTAAGGCGTTATTCCCGACAAGTTAATTTTCCCTTAACGTGCTCTGAAATACTGGAATAATGTGTATTTAAAATTGAATGTACTCTAATTGATGATTTTAATGTCTTCAAGTTTTGTACCTGTTTATATTAAAGTATGTAAAAATAATTACGCTAGCTACTACTACTTTTGGGTTGGTTCATTTCTATTCAAGTTTATCGAAACCCAAATCAATAGAAGTAAATTAACGACAGTCTAAAGTAGACTTTTAGTTGAAACTAAAAACTGCGATAGTTAGAAAGTAGATGTTGATGACTGTAACTTAACCTTTGTATTAAAAGGTTTTAGAGTGATCACTATAACTAATTGAATGAGACTCGTACCTATATATCTAACTTAGCTAGCATAATAATATGCGTAGTAGTAGTCTCTCCAAAATAGACGATATTTAAAATATTGTACTTTTAATGAGGACAGCACAAGACTTCGTAGGCTCGCTCGTTGCGGGAACCGGCTGTTGATCGACACTAAAACAATTTAGGCTCCTTCTGAAATTGAATTGGGGCTGCGAGCTTCTCCCGGCATAGCATTTCGCCACAATTATTGAGCGCAAATTCAGTTATTACAGAAAAGTTGTTATCAACGAACACGGAGCATATTATGGAAATAGCATTAATACTTGCTCAAATACCTCACATTTGAAGTCATAATTTTTCTTTAGAATTCCCAAGATCGTTGTTTTCTGCAATAAAAGGATTCAATTAATTTAATTAAGTCCACTCTACAGTGGTTCTGCACGATATCTCGCACTAGGACAAAAACAAAAAATAATGAACCGGTTTTTTCATTCAAGCAACGCGCGCAGACGTTCTGAAGACGCTCTCGATAGATCTCGTGGATATAAAAGGTGCCGTCGGTGGTGGGAAGAAAATGGACTCGTTGAAATCTAATTTCGCGTAACCATAACGGGCAGGCACTCGAGAGCGATGAGCCATCCGCGACAGGCGCGCTCATATCAATTCGTTAATTGAGCGCGCTCGCTCCGGCGCGCCCTGTGAATCGCCGCCCGCCCAACTGGGTACCAACTGAACTTTCACACTTCGTTCGCCGCTCAATGAACTTTTGCTTAACTTTTAATTTGAAATGAATATTTTTAAGAGCACTGCTTTTGATAGCGTTTTACTTGACATTGAGAGAAATTTTGGAGAAAATCAAGTTATATTTGTGGTCGGTTAGTACCTAATTATTTTGCTGATACCTATATTTTATTAAGTTGCGTATATTATGTTCTACAAATAAAATAGTACGCAATATTCTGAGAACAATCAGTAGGCCTTCCATTGACTTTGCAAATTAAAAACATTATTTATTCCATCTATTCTATTTATAATATTTTATGATAAGTATTATGACTATTTAAATGGTATGTAGTGTGTTTCAGAAACAAAAAAAAATCCGCACAAACCTACATAAAAAAACCTATACCTAAATAAATTGTATTAATATTCTTCGGCGTTTTCCTCAACCGTTTCATTATTCAAGTTTTTTATATCATTGTGTAAAAACGGTCCTTCGTTGCATCGCGGCCCTTCGCAGGAGAAGTTATCGAATTCACAAAATTCACCCATCACCATCTGAAAAAAAAATCAGGTTGCTTATTCACATTTTTGAAGTGTTTTTTAATCATTTACTTCACATTGCTAGCCTTGTGAAACTACGAATACGGTAAGATAGTGGCTATAGCTATGGCTATAGGTTAACTGATATCTTCTGTAGTTGAACCAAGGGCTCTATTGACGAGTGACGGCCAAACGCCGCCTCTCGCCAGATGTCTAAAACCTCCTCTAGTTCCCATTTACCATTCACAGCAGAAAGAAGGAATACAGCCATATTCTCCATTGTTGCAACGGTTAATACCTACGCCCATGTGATAGACTAGGAACCGCATGCTATAATGGGGGAAGTCTATGTCCAGCAGTGGACTTCTAGATGTTGATGTGCTGATGATACCTTCGTAGGGTGTTCCGGGTCAGGCATGGGGTTGCAAGCGCAGCGGCCGCAGATGCATGCACCTCGACCAGTGCATTTCGGGCCCTCCGTCACTCCCGGAGGGTAGCAGTTCTCTTCCAAGTGGCCTCCGGCACATGAACACTTCGCGTTGTCCATAAAACTTACTGGAATGTAGTAAAAGTATCAAATACACAGTTTTTTTTTACTACATCTGGGGGCACGGCAGTGCCCCCACCAAGTCGAGCTTTGATATTTACATATAGGTAGAGTTTAGAGCAATAAAATAAAATGTCCTTGGATATAATTTTTACACTGCATCTAGTCTCAAACTAGCAAACATACTTGACCTAAGTCCTACATAGGTAGGTACTCAGTTTCGTTATCACTACGTCTCGTCTCTAATACAAACAATTAGCTAATCAGTTTGTTACGTTAGAGATAGATAGACGAACTCATCATTATCATGTAAAGGATGTAAAAAATCATATTAAATAATTTATGCGTAATTTCAGAATACTTTTAATTGTATTATTTATGATCACAGTACTGCATATCTACGAGTAGGTATAGGTGGGTGGTTTAAATGACGAATCAAATATACGCGGGCAACAACTACTTGAAGTTACAAAAATTATAGTACATATGTAAATTCACTTACATCTATAATTTTGATATTCTGTTGAATTATCTCTACAAAAATCTTCAAAAGTAGGCAATTTCCTTGAAAAGCATCTATTTTCCGCTTGGCACCAAGAACACTGACTCAGCCTTAGGCACTCTAAGCACGACCGTTTCACGTTGCACACCCAATTCTCGTCTATAGTGAATGTACGAGTAACAGTAAATACTGAAGGTAAAACACAAGCGATGAACACTGCCAAAATAGTATTCATTTTGTTGTGATACTTTATACGCGTGTGTAGTAGCACTTGTTAATGACTGTGTATTACTCGAGTATTTTCGTTACTGTATCGAGTACCAGATAACCTTTGGGCGTATAAATTGCGCAAGTTAAGTATGTCAATTAACTCTGCTAATAATAAGCAACTTCTAATGAATTAGGATCTGTTTTAATGATTGCGCATTTTATAAGCGTCGTCTTTGTGCTTGGCAAAATAATGAAGTCGTCCAGTTACTATCGTTGTTTTAGCCAAAAAGTAAGTTTAAGATTGTTTGTTTCAATGTAAATAGACCGTGAAAAAGATACTACTTCTTCTTCAGACTAAGGATCAATGAATTTCGCATTAGGTAGGTACTTATTAACCAGGATACATTTCACGCGTCTAAATAGTCTTACAAGGGTATCCCAGGATGAAATACAGGATGGCCCAGAAAGAAATGCACTCTTGAAAATTCAAGGAAACCAAAACTACTTAATATAATAAAATTATGTAAAACTTTAATTATTGCAATTTAAAGGAAATTAAATTGAATTTATTTTAAAATTTACTCTTCAAAAATGATATTGTCCAAATGATTTCCTTGACCTTTACAACATTTGACTAATCTAGAAACAATATTTTGGAAAACTTTCGTTAAAATCCTCGAAATGGATTCTAGTTGGATGAATGCTGCAGAGTTTTTGGATTAATAGAGTACAGGCTATACTCTGCTCATGAAGTAATCCCTCAAAAAGAAATGCTGGAGTGAGCTTGGGGCTTCATGATGATAAGGATCAGGAACCCCTGCTTAATTGATGATTGGATTGAAATAATGATTAATAATTTGAGAGTTGGCGTGTTGAAAACTTGTTTTGATTCCAAAGCTGCAAGAATCTCGAGGCAGGAGCACTTAGTTCCAGCAAGATGTAGCTACGTGTCACACTTAAAATGAGAGCAATCTAAGTAGGTGGTAAGAGACATAATCCCACAAAAATTAATTTCACGCAGTGGTCACATCTGGCCACCAGGAAGCCCAGATCTCACTCCAGCAAACTTCTTTATTTGGAGTTACAAGAATAGAGTTACTTAGGTACTCTAATAATCCTAATAATACCTCATTTGGCTAGTACCTACTAATGAACGTAATCAAGAAATATAATATACGGACAGGCGAGTAGGTAGTCAGATGGATTGTAACAGCGGCGATTACCCTACATTCCAAAACGCTGGTTAAATTTTAGCGAGCAAAAAAACACGTCAGTGGTCTTATAGTCTGTCGTGTTTTTTGAGAGCGATTTGTAAAGATTTTTATAAAATGAAAATTGCGATAAAATTTAATCTAGGCGTTTAGTATCTTTAAATAGACTAAGAGCTAGTGAACGCCAGACCTACGTTATTTTATAAAGGCTGAAAGTTTGTCAGCGCATGCTCCCAACATAGATAAGAACCATAGCCAAACATGAAGTTTGGGTCACACGGTGGCTTTGGCAGAAGGTACCGAAGGTGAGTAAAATACCAACTTAATTACGTCAAAGTATAAAGGCGGATTTTTGATATTTCCTTCTAAATGTTATTAAAAATGACGTCATTCATTGACAGACACCTACCATGGTGGCACCGTGGCAGCCCTTAGCCAGACGCCCTAAAGTTCATGAAAATGTAGTCCTACTTACGAGTACGTCATACTATAAAGCTGATATTTATATAAAATATGTATTTGAACTATCATTTGATGAAGTTTCCTCATCAGCCAGACACTTCCGATAGTTCCTTCGCCTTGCCAGACAGCTTTTTAGGGTGGCTGAAAGTGCGAACGCGAGTAACTACACTGATGTACATTACCATGAAAACGAAAATTGGTTTGAACGAGATGTAGTAAAGTAGATTTTTTAAATTATTTAATTTTTTTTAAAAGTTACTACAACTTTCCTCATGAACGAGATGTATTAAATTGAAATTCATATCAAATATTCAGGTCTATAGTACCTTTCTTTATGCTGTAACTAAATCAAAATACGGAACACTAGGTGCGCGAGTTCGACTCGCACTTGGCCGATTTTTTTATAGATAGTATTACCACAGATAATATAATACTATTACCATATTATTCTGTGGTATTACCTCAGATCATAGAAGGGATTCTCTTTCTATGATCTGAGGGATGTTAAGGATATGAAGTTTCGATTATGGATACGGTTACGGATATTAGAATATAATTTCGGATTATCCGAAAGTTTCGGATAATTTCGGTTACGGATATTAGAATTTTAAAAATGTTTAATTCAAATAGCAAGATGCTGCGCGAGCGCGACCCACACACTTTACACCTAAGATAATGGTAAGACAGGGGGGGGGGGGTGTATTAGATGGTGCCAGGGAATACCAGACAAGTAACAAATATTTATAGGTATTACGGATATTTTTTTATTTCGGATATCCGATAGTTTCGGTTACGGATATCCGTAACATCCCTACAGTGACGACATTTGATTGATTTGATGTAGCCCTCTGAAGAGTTTGGGTGGTTTTGGGTGTTTGTTTTTTTGAACGCTGTAGTTCTAAAAAATCTAGGGCTGTTTGTTTCTTTTGTGGTATTTTGAGGTTTCTTTTTATGAGATAGGTAAATTAAAAAAATAATGTGGTTCTATTGAACCTCTCTCTCTAGTATGATCAACCTTTGTATTAAAATTTAAATAAGTATCAAAAAATAATACCTTGTGTAAATGTATAGCCTGACCAGGAACATAAAAACCCTGGCATAGAGGCGCGTCAATTGCATTTGATAGTGCAACACTGAGTACAGTCGTACATGTGTTAAATTAATAGGCTAAATTTATGTATCAGGATTCAGGATTACTGGCTAATTTGATATTTTCATAAATTAACGAAAAAATATTATTAAAGGTAACCTGGTTTAAATAAATTAAATGAAACCATCAATCGAGCTAGTAGGATTTATTTTATTATTCATCAATAATCAAATTCAGAACTTGAATATTCAACTGCAATGTCTGCTCATGAACGCTTCAAACTCGGTACTTCTTTGCCAATTCCATAAAATTCAAAACTTAGAAAGTGTCAAAAAACTTTAAAATAGGTAGTTGAAACAGACTACAGCTAATTTTCATAGTGGACTGTACTATACGATAAACATATCAGTCAATTTGACAACCTTTGTCGGAAACATTATTCAATTAAAATATTGTCCGAACCGTTAGTATTTCTCTTCGACAAATACATTATCACATTGTGAACCACTTTTCTTTCACGACTATAAAAATATTTTAGCAATTTAATTCACAAAATCAATTGCACACATTTAAAATAAAGTTTGTTTACACTTTGACAACAATAGACTGACATGCAAGGTGACATGTCAATGAAGTTTTCAGTTACTGTTGCCATTAAAAGAAATTAGTACCATTAGTTTTCCGCAACATGGCGAGGGTTTTTATGTTCCTGGTCAGGCTATAAATGGATTTTAGAACACCATCAGATTTTTTTATTAGATTTTAGATAAAAAATGTAATAGGTACACTGAAATTACATACAACATTTCGGAACGTGTTGTTAGTGACATGTTATCTGTCAGTGTCATACGTCAACATCAGCTGTGTTGGGCAACCCGGCCATACGACCGCATTTTCATTAAAAATCTAAGATTTAGCATACAATTAACCCGTATTTAGAGGTGAAATGGAAAACTATTTCAAGGGAAAAAATGTTGAAGAAGAATTGCAACGTGATAGTATACCATTAAAAGATTTACCTGTAAATTTTCTATGGATGCAAGTACGTAACTAAAACGGACTTCTATAAAAATAAACATTGATGTAAAGTTATTAAATTGTTTATTTGAATATTCCAGGTAAAAGGAGGAAGTAAAATTACCAATTTACTATCTCACGCTACGGGTATTTTAGAAGATAAAGCGACTACTGCCGTTGTTTGGAGTGGTGCTGGAGTCGCTATACCAAAAGCGATATCATGTGCAGAAATCTTAAAACGACAGTTCAGTATACAACATCAAGTGACCAAACTGACACACAAAAAGTTAGTTGAATCAAATTCTCTAACATTCTTCAGATTTAATTTCTTTTTATTGTAACCTTTAATGGGGATGTTGCCTGGGTCAAAAAGCAAGAGTTTTAATTAGTCCGTCAGTTAACTTATCAAAAAATACTCTACACGTATTTTTCACTTTTTCAAACTAATGAAAATTTAAAGAGATAAAGCGCCCCAAAGTTCATAAGAAGAGGCCCGTGACGTCAACGCTTGCTTAAAAATGCCGCACGTTGTGACGTCGTGCGCAACTTCAACGCACCATAACTATGTAATTATTTGTTAGATTGACAAATAAAAATATATGTGTCCAATATTTTTTGATATTAAACATTACGGACTAAAAAAATTTTTTTAGGCAACTAGCCTATTAAATATTCTAATCACAAATAAAATTAATTTTAAGAAATACAGATGAACCAGAAATATATTGATATAAATCTTTACAGAGTTGAAGAGTATTGGGAGCCAAAACTGGATGGACTTGAGACTATTGTAGTCAAAAGACAAATTCCTGTTATTCACATTTTATTGTCTGTTGACGCCATTCCCGATGTGAATCAAATTGGGTAAAATTTAAATATTTTCATCTGCTTACAGTTGAAATCAACTTGGGTTTTTGTAACTTTTCATTACTGATCCTGTAATAATCACTATTTTTCATATAACTGTAACTAAAATATTGTTTTTTTTTATCAGGTACCAAAATTTGCAGCAGAAAAAGTTTTGGCAAAAAGACACTAGCAGCAATTCAAAGCCTTCATCATCAAATAAGTCAAAAAAGCCTTTTAAATACAAGAAACCTCAATAAATTTGTAAATCTTTTTTCTTTCTTTTTACTGACATAGCCCCAACTCCTTTGCAAATATACATTTAGGATGTCACATGGATAAATACACACTGAATGGGGAAACCTATAGATATATGAATTAACAGTTGAAAATCAGTTAAAAGGGTAAATAGGTAGAGTGGTAACTCTAGTGTAATGTCACAATATCTAAGCACATCAAACAACATCTTTCATTGAATACACAGTGTAATTAACTCTATAATAGTTAAGTATTTAAATAAATGGCTTAAAGTTATTATTACAAAGACATGGGAATACAGATCACTAAATTATTAATCAAAATGCATACATATTTTTCATTAAGTGCTACACACTTGTCAAACAAATATGTTGGCAGATATTCCTAATAGAAGATTTCTTGTAACCTCAAGCTTCCGACTCTCCCACAGGTTGGGTGATAGGTGTTTCATCATCAAGTTTGGGAAGGATTAAAATTTCTTTTGATATGATAGAGTACTTAGTTACAAAGTAAGTAAATCTCTTGCATAAATGTGTTTCTTTCTCAAATGCATCAAATATGGAACGATGATGGAAGTATGCATGTGAGAAAATCCTGTAGACTCTTCGGCAGACAGAGCCCAGCTTGGCTACTGATGACTCCTTGATGCTCACTCTGTAATGGAGAAAAAAATATCACTTTTCTTCCTTAAAATGGGACCACATTGCCATTTCATAGTTAATTTATCAAACTCATTTTTTTATTAAATAATTATTATTTTGAAAAAGATATCAGTTATTTGTAAAATATTAACCTGCTTGGAAAATATTTGTTGCTATTCAATAAGCAAGCAGCACCATCGAGAGTATGTCTTGTGTAATCAATAGCAGGACATTCCTTGGGTGTTTTGTGAGCAGCACACAGGAAAATCCATTGTTCTGTTGCAGTCATCTGAGTGCAAGTTTCAGGTTTACACTCGCTTTGTAATCGCACAGCTAAACCATTCAGTTCCATACAAAACTGCCTGTAAAAATACGAAATAATGTTTATGACAAATTGAGAGATTGATATTTTGAGAGAATTAATTCGATTTAACCTTAAGTGTTCGTATTTCCAAACACCTTCATCCTGAGCTTCGGGCATTTTTAGGATGGCTTCAAGATTAGCGGGGTCGCGACGTATGGTTTGTTGAATGAATTGCTGGACAGCAAGTGTGCTATCCATCTCTTCGAAAGGCTCATCTGGCCAGCGGCAGAAGTCCTGAAAAATGATGTTTAACGAGTTGTGAATAAACTAACAAGAATCAAGTTTTCTTTTGCAGTTTTATGTTTAAACTTTAAAAATACCTTAGCCTTTGAGCCTGGACGATTACGACGTAATACTTGTACTCCATCAGCCATACTGATACACAAAGTTTAATAAAATTAAGGAATATTGCGATAATTCTTTCACAATTTTATAAATAAATTGAAACCAAAATTGCTGCTAGTGCTTGGCTGTCAGTGAGAAGTTGACATCAGTTGACATTACAAAATTATCCACCATTTTGTTTTTGAAGTCAAAATCAAAGATCGTATAATTTCTTCACAAAACCCAAACTTGAATGAAAACATAATAAAGGTTTACGCGCACTACATTATACAAAGGGTTTTAAAATACACAACTCTGCCCCCTAGAAAAGTTGCACTTTTTGATCGAATCGATAATCGAATCCGTCAAAACTTCATACAAAAAAAGGCCTTTCGATCACTATTCGACTGGTTTGCGATTATAATGTGCACTTTGTCAAAACCCACTGCTTGTGTGAATCGCCTCAACTCTCTCGCTGTGCGATCGTACGCTATAAAGTTTGCTTTGTGGGAGGGAAGTACAATTACCTATCTATCTGTACAACATCTTTGGTGTGCCAAATCTGTCAAGTGTCAAATTTGACAAAAAAAAAATCACAAAGGAGAAAAGACGAAAACAACTGCAAAAGTTATGAAGAAAAATAAAACACCTTGCGATTTTGTGCAATTTTCTTAGTTACCTTTTATTCAAGAGTGTAGTGCTAGCTCCCGCGGTCTTTATAGTCTTTCGTGCAATATTATTAAGATGCCTATATATAACTAAGAATAGATTCAACACGACAGTAATTTATCATGTTTTGTGAATTTTTATTAACTTTGCTGTTTGTTTACACATCAGCAGTTATTAATGATATGACTGAGAGTTCATTTGGTAAACATACTGAAGGAGTAATAGCTGCATTTGGTGATTTCAATTCTGACGAATTAACTGATGCTTTTGTTATACTAAACAGTACTAGTGTGGAAGTTCTCCTGGCATATGACAAGGAGCCGTTCTTGAGACCATCGTCGTATGCTTGTAATTTTAGCAATATAATTATAACCAGTGTGGTTCCTGGAGATTATGATGGAGATGCTTACATGGACATCCTAATCACTACACAAATCCAAAATGCTACAACAAATCTTCACGATGTTCGAATTTTATGGGGTGGTATGCCAACATTGAACTGCTCAGATGCTCTCCTCATTAAGGCTATAACCATTGGCCAACCACTAGTGATGGACTACAATCGTGATATGACCCTTGATTTATTTGGCATGAATACACAACAGCAAAGAGTTTATTGGGTATTTGATCAGTCAAGAGGAACTCCTAAAGAAATTCCAATGGCCGATGATATTTCGAAAGAAATTAAACTACCACACTCCCACTCATTTCTCGATGTCAATGATGACAATGCTGCTGATCTCTTAGTAACCACTAAACTTGACATTGAAATATGGCTGAATAAAGAATCCAGCGGCTTCAAATATAACAATAGTATTGAGTTGCTTGTTGGTCATACAACTATTTATGGGCAAGCCTTGTTTATTGATGTGGCTCTTAAAGGAGAGTTCTTTTTAGTTCTTCCAGTTTGTTCTGACACTGAATGTTTTAATAGTACCATTCTAATATATGACAATCATGAGTGGCATGATCTTCAAATTGATTTGAATGATGGAAAAGGAACACTTTGGAGGTTTGCGCCTCCTAGAAATGAAGTATATCTGGACACTATAACTATGCGCAGTGGAGATTATAATATGGATGGATATCCAGATATGTTGATGACTTTGAGTCCAATGAATAGCAATGAAACAAGAGTTTTCCTCCTTCACAATATACCTTGTACTTTACCAGGATGCAAGTTTTCTAGAACTTTTCAGGTCCAATGGGAAATATTCAATTCATTTGGAAGCAATGTCATAATGGGCACCTTTTATGACTTCTATATGGATGGAGTACTAGATATAATTTATGTTAAGAAGAATACAACAACACAAAGATATACCATGCATGCCTTTAGAAATAGCTTAGAGTATGACACCAATTTCATTAAAGTAATTGTAGTAACTGGTCTCACAAATGAAAAAACTCCCACAATCAATGGTACTCTGTACCAAAGGAAAGGAACATTTGGTAAGTAGTTTCTCTATATTAACTGAAATGGACTACAGTATCATCACATTTCTATTGTCAAGTAAGCCTTCTGATGGTTATTTTCGTTTCTTGTTTCAGGTACTAATTTACCAGGCCCAAAAATTGGCTACAATACATGGTCTCAAGAAGGAAATTATAGAACAGGAGTATGTGCACAGTTACCTCAATCTGCATATTTTGCTTTACAATTACCATACTCAATATTTGGACTGGATCGGACACCTAATTTTGTTGACACATTAAATGTTGGCCTTTCTGGTCATACCAAAAGCTGGACTCAAATAATTCCTAATTCTCAAATAGTAGTTATACCGGCACCTCCTAATGATCCATCTCAATGGAGAGCACAGTTATTTGTGACACCTAGTAAGGTCATTTTGAAAAGTGTTTTTGTATTAACTGCAATCATAATAGTCATCACATGCCTTGTGCTGTATTTGCATTGGAAAGAAAGAAATGACCGACAAGATATTATAGAAATAGATGAAAAAACATATGTCAAAATATAGAAGTAACCAATCATCACTGGTACTCCAAGGTTAATGGACTGTGATATTGATGTGGGTTAGGGCATCACAAATGTACCTTGCTAATTTAATTATTATTCCTGTTAATAAATATATATATTATACCTACAATAAAATTATGTTTAAGATAAATGTGTCTTCGATTAACTGAGATTGGTTTTTAAGTTATATCAAAGCACTGAGACAAATATTGTATCATGTCTGTTGATTGAATTAGATGTAAGTGATCTTTTTATTAAAAAACCTCTATCTCATAAATGTTTTTTATTCATTCTTAACAAGAACGATTTTACGCTATTAGCCCATACCCCATACGTTTGTCGTATCGATAAGATTTTATCACGGCACACATCCTAGCCCGGCAGGAAGTCATTAGAAACGATAATTGGATTCCAAAATTCCGAATGGGAGAACCAGGATCACGCCAAAACGCCTAGTAGGTATAACTCGAAAATGAGTTTGTTATATTCAGAATAAATAAAAGCAAATAGTTTTTATAATTTTAATTTTATTTTTCTACATCACGTGTATATTATTTTGCACATAGTGCTTAGTCAGACTGCAAACATGGGCACAGTTTCTAGAGGTCAGAGCAAGATTGGAAAAATAACAAATATTGTATGCAGGTAGCATCAAACAAGTGTTAAAGACAACATTAAGGAATCAGCAAAAGTGAATTATTCTATTACATAGAGGTAATAAAAATTTCACTCATGTGTGCAGTCTGGCCTGTATAATAGAGTACAATAGTGTTAAAATAGCATAATAAGATGTCAGCACTACATGCTATAAATAGGTACTTCAATGTTTAGATTTTTTGTGCTTCTTGTCCTTCTTTTTCTCAAGCTTTTCCAGTTTCCTGAAACACAATAATAAGCTTAAGATATAGTAACATTAACTATTTGAGGCAAATCATTCATTATCTTTAGATTGAATATTTATATCAGTAATGTACAAATTATTCATACTATTTGATACTAACTTGAGTAACTTTTTCTTTTGTTTTTTGGTTAACTGACTGATCAAGTCCATTTCAGTGAGATTGGATGTGTCAGAATCTTCAATTTTGGTTGCTGCCAGAGGCAGAGCACCTGGTTTCATCACGAGCCCTGTATCACGCATTTGTTGCATGAGTGTTGGCACGTCTGGCTTTGCTTCTTCTTCCTCCGGGGCCGAGGTGGATGCTTGCAGAGCGCGGGCCTCACTCATAGACAATGAATACATTGAACATTCCTTATCTGAAAAAAAAAAGAACCAATTTATTACAGAGATGAAGAGATTATTAAGTATGATATGTTTTAAGAATTGTGGTAGTCATTACCTGTGTTAATATGGCCCCATTTGTGACATTTTATGCATCTCACATTTCTGACAAGAATGCCAAATGGTTGATCCCTGATTTCATTGTCACCCTTACAATAACTCTCCCTTGGTGCATTGTATTTGCGCTGCCATTCAAATTTATACTCTGGCTCATTATCTTCTCGTTCCCTTTCTTTTTTTACGCCAGGTGGAGGCTCATACATAAAATTTAAACTTAATTTATCTTTGCTGTCCTTGCTGAGTAAAGCCCTGTAATGAAAATAAATTTGTAACATCTCAATGAAACATTGTAATATTTAATGTTTAGCAACAAATGTCTGGAGTACTGATTTTCATGTTTACAAAATCTTATACTGGTGGCATATAACTTGTGACTCAAGTTCTTGAGATTGAATATGATGTATGTAGTTGAATTGAATTCTTACTTATTTTCGTGTAATTCTTGCTCTTTCTCATACTGCACACGTAGCTCCTCTTGTTTCTTTTTGTAAGCTTCTGTTTTCTGCTCGGCCATCCATACCTGAACAGCAAAATTAGGAGATTATTAAGAGACCAATAAAAGATTAGGTGATATATATTGTATAAAATGATAATACATACTCGTTTCAGATTGTCCCGTGATGCAGGATGAAAGAATTTCTTACACATATAATTATTGAAACCTTTCCCCATGTTTGATGTATTGTTGTTCACACACTACAAGCAAACCCCTTACTGGAGCTTCAAAAATATGCCACACTGATCGATAACGGTTTCGTGTAATGGAATAAATTACTACTGCTTTATATCTTAAATTTAAAATTATTTCATCTAAAGCTACGCAGTCGCACACAAAAACATCGCCATATTAAATTGTCTTCTTCTTCTTCTTCTTCTTCTTTTTTTATGGCAACGGCTTGGTTTTGAGAACCATGATTTCGCCAATGTCACGTAAACAGTTTTGACAAAGTAACAGGGTTTACAAAAAACAAAAATATTTAACGTTTCTAATAATAAGCAAAATTATTATTTGTGTACCTATAACAAAAAAGACAACACAAATTGAGACACCACAAATAGATACATAACATAGAAATTAAAATGTAAGGAAGGGGGTAGGTGGGACGAAAGATTGGGAGAGGAAAGAAAAAAATTCGGTTACCTACAAACGAATTTTGCGGGATTGAATAAATTTTGATAGTAGTTTCAAAAGCGGTGGGTCCATAGAATTTAATAAACATTTAATATTAGTAGGGCGAGGAACGCTTTCAGGAAGGAAATCAAATAAGGAGGAACCTACGTTTGGACAATTGAAGAAAATGTGATTAGTTGTGCCTTCGTCTAAGCCACATTCGCATAAGGAACTATCCTTTATGTGCATCTTCGCAAGGTGAACCGGAGTACACGCATGACCAATTCGCAACCGACATATAATTGATACAGAACTTTTTGGTAAGTATTTGTGTTTAAAAAATTTCTTAGCTCTGTCTGATAATGGATCTGGAGAAGATGCAATGGCCACCTCCGTAACAAAACAATAGAACCCTAAGTTAAGGCTTGTGTGATTCGCCTTGACGAATATTTCGTATCCAGGGTCCGATGATGGAGCTGTAAGGGGGCAGATTTTTTTTTTCACTATGTGACTGTCTTTATTTTGTACTTAATATATATTTTACATATTATACCTATTCGTGTTTCATAATGAATCGAAATATAAAAGACTTATTAAACTCTATTAAAAATTTAAATTAATTTATCAAGTTTGAATACCTCATTCTACCTTAAAATTAATAACTTAAATCAAGTCTTAATACGGTCACGGCTCAAGATTTTTTTGTCCATTTCAGCGTTCTTTTTAGTCTTTTGACGTTGCGTTGACAGCTTTTACCTAAATTCGCGCGGAATATTTTTGTGAAATGGCTCTTAAAACCTGTTAAAATAAATTAAAGTTACTATTGTTACTAAGCAGGTACACTATGCGGGAAATTGATCGAGACATATAGTGTAAACACGCAGTTCGGTTTATCGCCGCTCATACTTCGTCAAGAGTGCGGGCTCGCGATTTGGTACTGTCAATTTCTCGCATAGTATACTTGCGCCATTAGATTACATAGGTGACAAGTGCGTGTTATTCTTATTTCTTTTTAATGCATGCCTACATTGTTGTTACCACGAACTAAGTGCTAACATGATTGAGGTGCCTTTTCTTGGGTTTCTTGTAAAATGACTTTTTCACATTTATGTAGGACAGTGAGAAGTTAAAATTATAGATTATATAGATAGTGCAACCCACCCTTAGTCTGATTTGCTATGCGGCCAAGGTTTCTTTATAAATGTCTATTTCATTTGTTTTGTGTAACGTAAATACTACATAATACTACAAAAACAAACTATTCTGAGAAAAAAATACCTTCATAATGAGCTCCAACTTGGGTTGTGAAGCCAGCACACGACTGCTAAGCTTGGAACGGCATTCCGCCTGCCAGTGCTTCCAAGATACGGTAAACTCCCCTGTTGATATACCGCCATATACCTGAAGTAATTAGACATAAAATTATATTTCAAGTGATTTATACAAAAATGTATGCTCAGCTAATCTCACTTGTATTTATAATGCACTAGCGGCCGCCCGCGACTTCGTACGCGTGGATCCCGTTTTACCCCCTTTTCCCGAATTTTCTTTGCTATAAACCTCAGGGAGCCCGAGACCTTTCCAACGAATGCAAAACCGTGGAAATCGGTTCGTGCGTTCTGGAGTTATAGCGTCAGGGAGGAAAACCCGACTTATTTCTATATAGTAGATTTATAACTGGTTAAGAAAATGTCTCTGAACTTCAGACTAGTTACTTACACTATACACAGGCATGCTCCTCAAAGAGTTGTCCAGCAACTTAAATTCATTGGAATCGGTCAGTGAATGCAGTTTCAACAACGCTCGAGCAACATCTACTCTTCCCTGAACAATCATTCCCACCACGGTGTCCCAGTATTCCGGGTGATCTTCGGACCCTCTCTCGCAGGCCTCTAACAACTGCGCAGCGGTCTGTTCGTGGCACGGGAAGTGGAAACGCACCCATTCTAGAAGATACGGCAAAACAATATCTCCAGGAATGTTGTCTATGTACAATATCTCACAGAGATGCCAAATACACTCGATAGAGTAAAATATTGTGATGTAAGAAAGCAAACTATTCTTTTCTATGCCGTTGGTTTCTTTATTTGCGGCGTCCTGTAAGCTCTCGATGCAAACTCGGATGATTGAACGATACTGGCGCGAAAGTTTTAACAATTCCACTTGATTATCCGTAGACTTTGCAGCTTCGGCAGCTTTTTGGAGCGACAGAAATGTTCCATTGGATTCGTTCACTAGTTTACGCAAAATCGGAATGAATAAAAGAACTTCTTGGCGGATATCGAGTACTTTGTTTTCGATGTTGGACGGCGAATTGCTTGTAATTTGACTACGTGGATATATAGAAAACTTGTTGCCGCGTCTCCAGACACACGCTGCATGCTTCTCGAAGCATTTATCAGGCAGGACCTGAAAAAGTTTTATATTTAGTGCACTAAAAGCAAACATAACCTCAATCGTATGATCAAATTATACTTACAAATGTTTTAAGGTTCTTGGTAGATTCAGTACTTCCGCCACGCGCGGAACTCCCTGGGTGGTTTGATATGCTCATTTTTCTCAGCACGAAACGATTCAATACGTAGCTAAATTTAAATAGTTTAAAACAACAAGAAAGACCGTTTCATTTGTGCGGCAACACACACACATCTTCTTCTTCTTCTTCTTCTTTTTTTATGGCAACGGCTTGGTTTTGAGAACCATGATTTCGCCAATGTCACGTAAACAGTTTTGACAAAGTAACAGGGTTTACAAAAAACAAAAATATTTAACGTTTCTAATAATAAGCAAAATTATTATTTGTGTACCTATAACAAAAAAGACAACACAAATTGAGACACCACAAATAGATACATAACATAGAAATTAAAATGTAAGGAAGGGGGTAGGTGGGACGAAAGATTGGGAGAGGAAAGAAAAAAATTCGGTTACCTACAAACGAATTTTGCGGGATTGAATAAATTTTGATAGTAGTTTCAAAAGCGGTGGGTCCATAGAATTTAATAAACATTTAATATTAGTAGGGCGAGGAACGCTTTCAGGAAGGAAATCAAATAAGGAGGAACCTACGTTTGGACAATTGAAGAAAATGTGATTAGTTGTGCCTTCGTCTAAGCCACATTCGCATAAGGAACTATCCTTTATGTGCATCTTCGCAAGGTGAACCGGAGTACACGCATGACCAATTCGCAACCGACATATAATTGATACAGAACTTTTTGGTAAGTATTTGTGTTTAAAAATTGTAACTAAGAGCGATTTTGTACACAGGTATCCACACTGCGGCGCCGACGCAGCCGTCATCAGCGAGCTTGGACGCATCTGTGTACATCGTGAGCCAGCCTTGCCAGTGTTCGGATAAAATAATTCTGAATTCTTGGGGTGCGGCAGGGGAATCTTTAGAAATACCGAAATTTAAAATAACAGGCGGTTGAAATATTAAAGATTCAAAGCTATTGGAGAAGAGAGGGAAAACAGGAGTTTTTGTAATGGGGCATGGAAGACGACTAAATTTTTGGAAGCTCAGCAAAATGCAAGGTGTCTTTTGAAAAGAAGAAGATGAAATGTTAGAAGACGAGAGAAGCTCAAGTTTTTTTAAAAGTGGATGAGAGGCATTCTGAGCGACCTTAGCAAAGAAACGGTCGCTGAGGTACTGCCTACGCAAATAGAGGGGAGGGTCAACGCACTCTACTTGTAACGCATTTATAGGCGAAGATTTCATTGCTCCCAAAATTATGCGTAAGCACTTTGATTGTGTTTTGGATAATCTATCAAGGGCTGCTTTGTTACAAGGGTCCAAAAGAAAAGACGCGTAGTCAAAATGACTGCGCACAATGGCGTTATAAAGGAGCTTTTGAGAGTAAGGGTGGGCCCCCCACCAAGTGCCTGAAAGGGCGCGAATTACGTTAATTCCATTTTCCGCCTTTTTAAGGATGGAGTTAAAATGAGCGACACCTGACAGTCTACAGTCTAGAGTCAGACCCAAAAATTTGACCTGGTTGCAGCAGGGAATAAGGTCACCGTCTATAAATACCTCTATGTTCGGAGTGTGTCGTTTCCGAGTAAAGGTAACGCAACAGCATTTCGGAACAGAGATGGATAGGCCGTGGGAGAGCATCCAGTCACTGAGATAGCTTAGAGCGGAATTAAGGCGAGTAGTTGCCTCGTCTATCGATTTAGATGAGATGTAAAGGGCAATATCATCGGCGTACTGAAGGATGTTGCAGAAAGAATCGACAGCTTGGTCAAGGTCATAGGTATAAATGCTGTATAGGAGTGGACTGAGAACGGAACCTTGAGGTAGGCCTTTCCAGAGTAGACGGGGAGGGGATGTGATGTTTTGACATTTTATTGAGACAGTTCTTGCCATTAACGAGTTACTGATGAAACGAACCAACTTCTCCGAGCCACTCAGATGTAGCAACTTTTGCCTGAGTACTGGAAGTAAGACGTTATCGTAAGCGGAAGATATGTCCAAAAAAACACCCACTAAGTACTCCTTATTCTTGAAAGCCAGTCTGATGTCGGTGGTTAAAATACTAAGACTGTCCAGAGTGCTCAGACCTTTGCGGAAACCGAATTGAGACTTTGCTAGGATACCGTGAGACTCCATGAACCACTCCAGGCGGTTTCTGATCATATGCTCCATAACTTTTAGTAGGGCAGAGGATAAGGCTATAGGGCGATAGGAGTTATGTTCTAAAGGATCCTTCCCTGGCTTCGGTATAGGAATTACAATTTGTTCCTTCCAAGAGTCAGGGACGGTTCCTAGGTCAAAGAAGTTGTTGACTAGTTGAAGAAAGAAAGATTTAGCTCTAGGGGGAGAGTTAACTAAAAAGGAATATGGCAATCCATCGGCTCCGGGAGACGAATCAGTTAGCCCACTAAGGGCACAAAGGAGTTCGTCAGCAGAAAAAGGGGAATCTAAATTACCAGTTGGGGGAATAGGCACAGAGGAGCTGGATGGGAAGCAGTCTATAAAGGGGACAAAAGGAGGAGCTAATTTATCTGCAAATTCTTCCAACCAAATAGAGGGATTGTTTGAGGGAGCGTTGGATGGAGAAAGGGATTGGCGGTACCTTCTAATCTGCTTCCACACTACAGAAGAGGGCGTCCTGGGAGACATATTCTCGCAGAAACGGGTCCATCCTAGCTTTTTCTTCTGCGATAAAAATTTCCTTGTCTGGGCTGCTGTCTGCTGGTAGAGCAGAAAGTTCTCCATTGTCATAGACCTGTTATAACGTTTTTCCGCCTCTTTGCGTTTCCGAATGGCAGCTGAACATTCCGCATCCCACCAAGGGGGGGAGGTCTTATGTGTAGGATTCTTTTGAGGGAAATGTTCATCTGCTGACATCCGGAGGATGTTTGTAAAGTGTTCATACACTGAAATTGAATTTAAAGGGGAGATTGTGGGAAGTGAGTCTAATTTATTATTTACTGATACTGAGAAGGCTGACCAATCAGCATTATTTAATTTATATCGTAGTAGAGGAGGGGGACGGACGGTTGGGGATGATTTATTAGGGATAGTTAACAAAATGGGGAAATGGTCGCTGCCAAAAGTGCTTTTTAGAACATTCCATGAGAGAAGTGACGTAAGGTTAGGAGAGCAAAAAGATACATCCACGGCGGTGGCTGGATTTTGAGATGGGAGGCATCTTCTAGTTGAACAGCCGTTGTTTAGGACGCATAGATTTAGATCGTCAAGGAGGTCTAAGAGTAAAGATCCTGGGGAGTCCGTGTGATAGGAGCCCCATGCAGTATTGTGAGCATTAAGGTCGCCTAGGATAAGGACGGGAGGAGGAAGAGCCAGAATGGCTGTACGCAGTTCATTAAGGGAGGATGAGTTAGGACGGGGAATGTAAACGGATAGGATTGAAAGGTCGAAAATTCGCACAGCCACGGCATTAATGTCCTGGCTATGCGAGGGAAGAGGGAGTTGGGAATAGGAGAGGGAGCGCCTTACAAGAAAGGCGCTTCCTGCGTATCCATCGTTTCTATCATCCCGGAGACATGAATAGCCAGATACACGGAAGTGTGAATCCGGAACTAACCAGGTCTCCGAGACGGCTATGAACGACGGAGAGTATTTATTGATTAGGTAGGAAAGTTCGTGTTTTTTTCTTCTAATGCTCTGACAGTTCCACTGAACCGCCTGAATTGCCATTGTAATTAGATATCTGAGAGATTTGGGAAAGTTTTTGAGCAACGTTGGACGGTATACTGTCTTTGTGTTGGGTAACAACACGGAGGATGAGGGTTAGGACAAGATCTAAAAGGTTTATGTCGTCTGAGAAGGACGATGGAGGATTGTCGGTAAGGGCGCACCCATTAGGAAGGCTAGAAGCACAATTGCCAATAATGGCCTGGTGTGCCTGCCGGTCGTAGCCTTTTCCTAACGGCGCGTGAGAGCGGGGGGAGCGGGGTATGGTTTTCTTGTAGGAGAGAGGTAGGTGGGATGTTTGTGAATGGAGTGTTTGGGATGGAGAGGGTAGGGGTTGTGAGGATGGGGACTTTGTTATGTCGGCATAAGACCTACGAGTGGTTGGGTACATGGCCGAAGCCTCAGCGTAGGAGATATTATCCTGTGACATAGCAATTTTAATAGCTTTTTGTCTGGAGTGCTCTGGACAGGATTTGTTAAGAGCAAAGTGAGGTCCTGTGCAGTGAATGCATGTGGCCTTTTCTTCGGTAATATCACAGTTATCCGCTGAGTGGGGTTGCGTGCAACGAAAACATCTAGCCTTCGACCTGCACTGGGCTTTGACATGGCCAAAGCGGCAGCAGTTGAGGCACTGAATAGTTGGGAGCTGGTATGTCTCAACTGGAATTGAGTTATGGAACAGAAATACTCGTTTTGGCAAAACCTGTCCCTTAAATGTCACGACTACCGATTGGGTGGGGACCCAGGACGCTTGCCCGTCTGTGGTCACTTTCCTGTTTAGACGGCGGGCTTTTAGCAGGATGCCACATCCGTCAGGAATCGTCAATGACTCCGCAAGCTCTTCCATTGGAAGATCGGAGGGGATCTGTTTAATGAGGCCCATACGGGTCACGTTGTACGTCGGGATTGTTGCTGAGTACTTGCAAAGGGATAGAATCTCGCTACTCAAAAATTTGTTGGCAGCACTGGCAGATGTGAACTCAACAGAGATTCTGTTTCTCCCAATTTTTTTGATACCATCGTTGATCACGTCCTTAATTTTGTTATTGACCAAAAATTTTCCAAACCTAATTGGCTGGATGAAAGTTGGGGCATTAGGCTCGGTTTCGATGCGGGACACGTGGACAATAAAAGGGCCTTTGTCAAGGTCACTGTAGACTTTTGGTGCGATAACAAGAGATGGGTGCGTGTACACCGGTTGGCTGCTTGGAGATGACATTGCAGCAGAAGGGTTGTTGGATCTCTTCGCGGGTTCAGAAGGAACCTCCGAATCCAGGCGGCGTTTTGTTGCGGCTTGGGAAAACAGTGGTTGAGAAATGTCCATTGAACAGGAGGCCGGATCCGGAGGATCCGGGGGATCGGGAGGAGTTAATTCCATTCTACTTACTGTTTTACCAGATAAATCCGTCACCTGTTGTTAATTATTAAAATAACTAAGCTTAAAATTGAGTTTTTTTTTGAGTTAAACTACGTTAGAATTTGATTTTTCCACTTAAACACCTGAAACACGTGTTGCCACTGTCACATGCGGCGAGCGAA